CTTTTAAATTGCCAGGTCTCAGGGCTCTCCCTGTACTGCTCACCTGTATCCTTGCCAAAATTGAAATTGCTAAATGGGGTGCCCCCTCATGCCCCTATTCTTCTGGGAAACTCTCGCTGCATCCCCTCCTCCACGGGCACCAATCATCTATGCTCTGAATAGCTAGGATTTTGAATAAAATTTGTCATGTAAGAGCAGAGTCTATTTATCTAGCCCTATTTCACATTAAATAGAATTGTCCTGCCCTTTGGAAATGCTTTGGCTGGGCAGTAGCTGCAATGTGAATAATTGCTTGTGTATTGCTCTCCTATTCTTATGCATTTCCCTGAACTGTTACTGGGCTGTACTCACAATTTTCACCCAACATGTTAGCCATAGCAGAGTTTGAGCTGTACAGAAGGATCCATCTTAATATTGCCCATTGTAAAATGCATTTTACCTCATTTTAATCACAAACTACATTGTGGAGGAAATTTCACCATTTCAGTTGCATACCTCAGATGAGATGGCATTGTTTTCCTGATGCCATAGGCAGCCAATGCAGTTTAGAACAGCCTTCAAACTATTCTAATCTAGACTAGGAGACTAGCCTGGTGTTTAGCCAAAGATCAAGGCGCTGAAAACCACCTTTTCCCCTCTACAGACAGATGGGAGAATTGAGGTAGCTGAATCAATACATAATTCCAAACTCTATAAAATATATCAATATCCCCCAGTAATGTTAGGTTGTTTTTCTTAAAAAAGACTTTGTTGTGATAGTGGACAATAATAACTACATATAGAATAAACAAGTTTGACACTATCAGAGTGGGTCTTAATAAAGACTGGGAGTGGCTAGCTCACTAGAAAAAGCAATTTCCCTTCTTCTTGTATTCTCAACTTCTGATCAACTGTTGGGAATGGGCCACATCCACACTCATTGAATTGACTTGGTTAGCACTGGTCTTCTGCATAGCAGTGTAACACTCCCATCTTTACACATGTGTATCTAGTCCTGCCAAACTGAAGATTCCACTTGTTTAACTTTAAAAGTCTAGAGGAGCCAAGGAGTGAATAAATACTTCATGGTGGCAGCAACAATACAAAAAAGAGTCACTAAATAGATTTGTGTTTATGTGGTGGTTCACTGAAAGGGAAGCAAGGCATCACAGAAACTCAGAAACACTAGCCCACATCATTCAACGACTAGTCTGCCCCCGAATGATTTTAGTGTATTAGTGTGGAGGAGTTGGAGACACAGAAAGAGGGGGAGGAAATATTTAACACCTCTTCTGTTTGACTCTGCAACTTGCTTCCTTTGCATCTGTCTGCTAGGTCTTGATTCTGAAAACTGTGAGTAGTCCCACTTTGTATATAGACCAGTCACATGAGTAAGCGTTTGTGGACTGACCCTTTGTATTTTTTTCTCGTACAGTATCAAGCAAGTTGTTGGTGGTTAGCAAATAATACATAATTGCATTTATATCTATCAACGGTTAAAGCTCAACTACCACTTTTAATCTGGAAGACGACTCAAAATAGCCCTCATGGTTCAATGTAATAATCATTTTAGTCTATGGCAATTTAAGACCCTGATCCTGCAGCCACTTAACAATTAAACACAGATGTAAATGAGTAATCAATACATTTTATATTCATATTAGAATATTCATGTATTTATATTGAAAGAGTACAAGAATATTCTTTTTAAATCAGATATTGCATGTTAATTATTAATCTAATATTTTAATTGATCATTTTTAACTACTACATATACTTCTGATGATTCAAAAAAGTTGCATTCTCAGTGCAGGCATTCAACGCAAGACATTTCACACTGCCGTTTTGCTTTAGGTAGACTTCCACCTCTATTCAATCAGTCCAAAGCCAGTTCTGAACTAGTACTGACTGGAAACTGCCTCTCTTTAATGGCCTTGGTGAAATAAATGCCTTACTTCAGTGCCAGATGTCCATGTAAGAAAAACTATTTCCACTACTGTTGGCACAAAGTGGCAAGCTTGCGGCGTTTATCTGCAAAGGAACCAAAAATGGAATGGACACAGAATGATTACTGCGACTGATTGGCCCATTGCCCCTACACATTGGATGTAGTGCTAGACTTTGGCTAAGTCTAAACTACGAGTTTTCTTGATAATGAGAGACTAATTTCCTTGGGTCGCGATCTCATTTGCATATTTTCTGCCCATCCATTTTTGCGCTAAGGGATTTTGTGCTATAACAAGCAGTGGAGGGGCAGAAAATATGCAAATGAAATCACAGCTCATGCAAATGAGTCCCTTGTTAGCATTTTTTTTTTGCCGAGAAAACACATAGTGTAGATATAGCCTTAGAGAAAACATCCTTTTAACATTGTGCTATCTTTTACAATATATGTGTGCACGATGTCTAGTACAATGGGGCCCTGGCTTTTAACTGAGGTCTCAAAGGCACTAGTGTAATATAAATAATAATGAATAATACCTCATCTCCAGCGATACTCCCTTCACTTCAGAGTTGAGGCACATTGGCAGGGCTGCTTCCCAGGCTGTACCTGTTCTGTGGATAAAAAGAACCAAATTCTGCAAGGGCATCAGTCCTACATCTTTCTTCAGCATTCAGTTCCCTTAAGTTAGAAGATAGTGGGCCAAGGATGGGGCTTTGGAGGACAGCGCTTTATATTTCATCGTTCCCATCCCCAGAAAGCAGGAAGGAACAGAAGTTAATACAGCCTGGCTTTCAGACAGCTAATGCTCACAATGCCCACTACAGAGAACAGTGCTATTCCTTCTTACCCACATTCTTGCTGGCTTCTGTGCACAGATACCAAGGGGAGAAAGCTCTTTCCATTCCTCCCGGTGGACTTGCCCTGGGGCCATTCACAATCTAACCCTTCACTGTCAGTTCTGCTGAACTTGGGATGGAATTATTTCTCTCAGAAGTTTGTTTATTTTGCTATCCCTGGTTTGACACGCAAGAGCTTTTGACATGAAACGCTTATCCAGTCAAACAGCAATTGTTTTATGACTCATCAAGGCAAACTTTGAAGAAACTGTGTTATGTGACAAGAAGTTCAAGATTTCCCTGCAAACCTAATGGTATGACATTTGACAGAAACAGATGGCACAGTAAAAATGTGCTGAAGTGCTCAATCACATGCACCAGCATGAGGTGATTTGAAATGAGATCTCTGAAAACTGAGCCTTAATTTTCTATCTCTTGTTAATAATCTGACAGCAAAACACAAGTATTGGTTCCATTTCACATACTTTTTTTGGGCGGGAGGGAGGGCACAAGCTATTGTGCAAAGATAGGCTATTGACAAATTGTAGAGGGCTCAGAGAAGAGCTGCAAGGACTAGAAAGGGTTAAAGGAATAGAAAACATGCTCAATAGTGATAGACTCAAGGAGCAAAATCTTAGTTTAACAAAGAACAAGTTAGAAGGTCATTTAATCACCATCTATAAGTACCTACATAGAGAACAAATGTTTAATAATGGGTTCTTCAATCTAGCAGAGAAAGGTATAACGTGATCCAGTGGCTAGAAGTTGATGCTAGACACCTTCAGACTGGAAATAAAGTGCATATTTTTTATTGTGAGGGTAATTAACCATTGGAACAATTTCCCAACGGTCATGGTGGCTCCTCCATGATTGGCTATTTTTAATTAAGAATGGATGTCTTTTTAAACGATTTGATGTTGGCGTTATTTTGGGGAAGTCCTGCGGTCTAAATGCAGGAGGTCAGACTAGTGATTACAATGATCTCTTGTAGTCTATGAGTAGTCTCAGACAACTTGGGCCTGTCTAGACAACTATTATTTGTACCTGTTTAGCTACAATAATGTATTTACTTTGGTGTATCATTCAAAGTAGATGTGCTGCATCAGAATAATAAGGGGCTTAGGTCAGTTTAAAACATCAAAACCATTAGCCCTAGTATAGAAAAGTTCTAGGTTTTGGCCCTTCTATTTCAGTCCCAAACAGTAACTTTTTTGATGTTGTGTGAGAAATGGAGTCTAGGATGTGTCAGTGAAGCTAATTTTCCATATAAGACTTAAGACTAGAGATTCTGGGGTTCCTGGTTTGTTACTGGTACTCTTTACATATTTCTTGCTATGCCGAGCATGTCATGAGATATCACGCCTTCAAAATCATAATATCATGAATTCTAGAAAATGCTGGCAGTTTTTGAAAATGGTTCCCATTTTGCTCTTGGTAGGAGGTTTGTACATGATTCTTACAATTAATATATGACTACCTGTGAACAATATGGCTTTCTCAAATTCATGCAAATTAACATTCAGTACTGTAACAACACACTGTACGTATATTGCATAGATCAAAGGGAGTTCAATGTATAGAGGGCTTCCAAGATTAAATCAGTACTCACTCTTTTGTGCTATGATTAATGGTAAAAGCCAAGACTAGACTCTCTAAAACAATTTTAGCCCCTGAATGATGGCAAGTAACAGTTGATACACTAGGGCTGTGTCTACATTGGCAAGATTTTGTGTAAAATCTTGCCGTCTGTCTACACTGGCCACGAGTATTTGCGCAAGAACACTGACGTTCTAATGTACGAAATCAGTGCTTCTTGCGCAAATACTCTGACACTCCCGCTCAGGAATAAGCCCTCTTACACAAGTATTCTTGCACAAGAGGCCATTGTAGACAGACAACGTTAACATCTTTTGCGCAAAAGCACATGCCAGTGAAGACACTCTCTTGTGCAAATACTTTTAACAGAAAATCTTTTCCTTCAAAAGTATTTGCGCAAAATCATGCCAGTGTAGACGCAGCCTAGCTATCCATTTTCTCCTTGAGTATGAGTGTCACAATGTGTGGAATTTACCCTTTGTGCAGTGAGTTGCCATTTAATAAACCCAGAAAAAAGAAAAAAACCTATTGTTATAAAACTGAAATGTTGAACTTAAACTCCTGTAAAGCAACTTTTAAGAAAAGATCCTGTTTCATAATGAGACTACTAAATTGTATTTCAAACAAATTTGCTTAATTATTATTCCATACATTTTTTGTATAGGTGATGACTTAGACCTTGAAACTGAATGTTTCAGCCAACTGGAAATTAAGGAATTCAGCCACAGTCTAACATGCAACTTCATGGAGGTGAACCTTAACAGCACTAACATTAATCTTACAGTATGGTAAGAAACTATACTATATGTCTGCAATCACAGTACTACAGGTTGGAATGCATGGATGGAACAACTGGGGAAAAATCTGATTTTGAGTTTAGTATTAATTTTGAATACAATTTTCTGGAAAATCAAGAGTTCCGTGAGTCAGAATCCAACCCCCAAATAGGAAAATAAATCAGCTGAAAGGATTTTTTGTTCACTTTGTAAACTTTGTATTGTAGACAAGGGGCTTGATCCTGCTCCGACTGAGCCTGAGTCTACCTGGTCATGGTGCAAAATGGGAGTATTGCCACTGAGTTCAGCAGACCAGGGAGACGCAGAGCAGCTTTTCTCGCCCCAGAGGATGCGGGCGTCTGCCCGCGTCCTCCGGGGCAAGAACAGCCCCATTTGTAACTGCGGATCCGACATAAGTCGGATCCGCGTAAGTCGGGGACTGCCTGTACAAAGATGTGCTCAGTTCTCAACAAAATGCTTCGAGATGGGGTCAAAGCAATATTTTTAACTCTGTTTTTGTCACAGAGGCAAATTTTTGTCAGACTTTTGGTTCCTAGGTTTACTTTCGCTTTATCCTTTGGCTTCTTTTTCCTGAAACTGCAATCAGTTTTCCATCAGCAAAGAGGTGGATTGTTCAGCATCTAATAGTTGTTTGACTTGTTTTCTCATTAGTTAGAATAATTCTATTTTCCTGGAAAATAAAATAAAAATTAAGACACAGTGCTTCCAATCCATGGAAATAATCAGCTTAAAAATTATCATTTTAGAAAATAGAGATTCATTAGCTGATTTGATTAATAATAAAATGCATTGTATTTTTGGTTTCCTACATGCATAATTATCACTAATGTTGCATGACTATGACTTCCAAGAATCTGCTGGAAAAAAATTTCCAACAATGTCTGACATGGTCTTCAATATTTATTAGACTGTTGTTTTGCCAAATTACTTCATAATTTCAGAACTGTACCTCCTCATATTGCTAGATCGAGTTCTTTCTCCTGGTCTCACCTTTTGAAAAAGAGCATTTGTATCTATGGATTAAAGGTATTTCACACTAATTGTTCATTGTCAGGATGTAATTTTTTTTAATTAGGGAAGATTTTTCTCAAAATCATCTTTATAATCAGTTGTATGACAGCCATACCCTGCCTCAGTTTCCTCTTTCTTTAGCCCCTGAAAGTACAGTCTTTCAGTGCCCATTAGAAAGACCACCTCTGGACATAACATTTAGAGACACTAGTGGAGTAATTCCCCCAAAACCTTTGTAATAAATCTATTCTCAATAAACATTCAACAGTTTTTCCAATCCCTTCTTCAGGGACAGAATTTGCAAGTCCCTCACCAAAAATCACTGGTAGCACTGTGTAGCCTATTACTTTTACCCTGATCCAAGGCCTCCCTCACCTAGCCTCACTTCAAAAGAGTGACCAGACTCCTGACTACTACCACAGACCCCTACAATTGGGGTATGTCCACACTGCAGAGTTTTTCCGGAAAAATGGCCATTTTTCCAGAAAAACTACACTTACGTCCAAATTGCAATTGTACTATTTTGACAGAAAGTTGAAAGAACAAAGAGGTTTTTCAGTCAGCAGTAAACCTCTTTCTACAAGGAAGATACCTTTTTCCAAAAAGGCTCTTTCGGAAAAGGTGATTTTGGATGGGGAAGAGGGATTTTTTTCTAAAGAAGAGGCCTCCAGGGAAAAGCACAGGTGCACTGGTGACCACTCCGTCCATAGTAATCACAGTTTAAATGCGAGATAGCATCCAATCAATGTGGACACTATCTTTCTAAAAAGCAGATTGCTTTTTCCCTGCACTTTTGCTTTGTGGGCGCTCCCTTTCGAAAGAAGTTTTTCTGGAAGATCTGCTGTCTAGATGTAGCCCAAGAGAGCATCTCAGTGTTCCACTTAGCTCAGGTTTTCCAAGCCTGGTGCCTTTTTTGAAATAACTATCCCAGGAAAACAGGGAGGCTGCTCTCTGCATGCTGCCAACAGTCCAGTTTTATGGGCTCAGGATCATTCTGGAAGTCTCAATTTTTTGTATCTCAAAAATGGCAACTCCTGTTCCTCTCCTGATACTTTTCCTGCGTGTCAGTCCAACCCTATTCAGGGAATAAGTTACCAGAACTGATCCCTTATTCTGGGGGTTCTACCACACTCCTGCACTTAGACTTTCATGCTGTGGGCTCCCTGCCTTGTTCAGGGCACATCCCTCCGGGGTCCATGTTCTTGCTTCCACTGACCAAGCAGGATCTTTCCCTTTTGCCACTGTCCAGGCCTGTTCCTTGTCAGGGGTTTACAGCTTTGGTTCTTGGCTCAGTTCTCTTCCATAATTCTGAACCAGCTCTCCTTAGAGCTCAGCTCTGTTTGCAAGATCTCCTGTAGCTCTTCTTTACTGCTTCCTATCTCTGACTTCTCTCACACTCTCAGACAGCACTCATCAGCCAATCTCCCCTTCCAAGAACCTGAGTACTCTCTGTCAAAGCCCCGTTAGGAGGCAGCTGATCAGTCACTGGTGAACTGGACTCCACTCTATCTTAAAGGGGCCAGTCACCCTGGGCCACTCTTTTTTTCCCAACTTCTAGCCTTCTGAACCAAACTTCTTCTGTTATGCAGTGCATTTTCCTGAGATACACCACACAACACTCCCTACCTCTATTGTCTTTTTGTCTGCCACAAATTATTTCATTTTACAACCTTTTAAAATCCCTAATCTGTGCTCATTGTCTACTTTTAATACTCCCTACATACTGTGAGCTTTGTTGAGCTGTGAACGGCACAGATAATCAAGTGTGGTTCAAAAAAGTGTAATCACAGCCAGCTTATCAAAATGAACCAGTATCATCTAACGTTTTCCCTAATTTATTATAATTATTGTTTAATTAACATGATGATTATACTTCTCCTGACATCAATAGGAAGTTTTGCCATTGACTTAAATAGGATTAGCCCCCACAAGGCTTATTTGTATTTTAAAATTGTGATAAAATCTATTTAAAAAAAAAGTTATTTTAACACTAACATCTCAAATTAAATGATAAAATCTCTTCTCTGTTTTCCTTAAACAGCCCTGCTAGAACTTCTAATGTGATTTCACAGATATACCTTTTGATCACTTCACCCAGAGATCCAGAATTAAAAAACGGTATCCATACTGTGATTCCCTTATTTACATGGCATAGTATCTTATTCCGTAATCTGATAATGGCACTCTACTCCAGGTTACAGAACTTCCTTTTCTATGTTCTTTCTTAGCTATGTTAAAATAAACAATACACATGCATTTTAAAAGTCCCATTGTAGGGACCAATTGTTCAAACCAATATTACAAAATTACTTACAAGTGTGTCTCATTTCTTTGGTTTCAAATAAATGCTGTTTGATTGCAAATACTTCACTATGGGCTTAGTAGTTGCATGTAGAATTGAGCTTGTGTTTTGCTCTATAGACCTAAGTGTCTTGGAACTCAAAAATCTAAAATCAGATATGTTGGGAAAATATTTAAGGATTTTTTTTTCATTACAACTGAGAAGAAACTAACTCTGTGTCACGTTGGATCAACAGCACCACCTCCGAAGAGCGTATATGTTCAACTATGGAGAAACAAGGAAGCACATATTTTTTGTATATCTACGAAATCATCTCGTGTAAGGAGATTTGTGTGGTCCTTGAGTCTAAGAGAAAGGACTGCAAGAGAGTGACTGTAACTGATATTGGTAAGAGGCCAAATGCTTTACCCAGTAGTAAAAAGTGTAAACGATTGAAAAAAATTGTGCCAAATCCAACATTCACTCCAGATAAAGTTGGAGAAGATGATAAGTGACTGAGGGGTCAAGACATGGCGAATTAAAACAATTTGTGGCCCTAAGCACAGAAAATATGTGGATATTCCTTACTAATCCCTCCCATCAAATTAGACATGATTGTACTTCATTCAGTATAGAGGACTTAGATGCTTGCCTATTCTCCTTTGCTTTTAATCTACTCCAATCAGTGGAGAGACTTGTGGATAGCAGATACTGCTCTGAAAGGTTTGTCTTCCTTTGCCAAGAAGCTTTGTGATTTAGGGCTGTTGTTAGATGATCAGTTACTTCCAAAATCCAAGGTGGCTGTGACAGTAACCAATTGGGATGCTTGCCTTCCTGCAATTATCCTTACTTTATCAACTCCACATGAAGATATGCTTGGAGATCAGCTAGAACAGCGATGGGCAGCGTAGGCTAGTGAGTGGGCCACAAGATTGTCATTACCAAGACAGTCTCCCAAGATAGGGTAGCTTTTTTTAACTGCACTTGCATACCTAGAATTCGTGGCACGTACTGATTGAACCACAGCAGCGCTTTGACTGGATGCATAGGAAGTGCTTGGCTCTCACAGTGAGTATTGTATACAAACAGCACGCCCCTTACCTCAGGTCCCCTAGCCTTTTCCAGTGTATCACTTTAATAAAACCAAAAGGGAAAAAACTTCATGGATGAAAACTTGTGGAATCTGGCAACTCTGTGTGTGAGAAGGGATAAACAAAATGTCTTGTGGGCCATACATAGATTCTCGATGGTCTGCAGGTTGCCCACCACTCACCTAGAAACTCCAACTAGTGCAAAGTACAGTAGTCTGACTGCTGTACTGGGACTGGAAGCACATTACAACAATTCTCCATATTCTATGTTGGCTTCTTATCTGGTTCCAGACACAATTCATTGTTCTGATATTGTGCTCTAATGATTTGGTTCATAGGTTCCTGAGACACTGTCGTCCTTCCCTGTATATCATTGATACTGTTAAGATTAATTGATTCACTCTCAAAGCTAACAGTCCCTTAAATATTTGGGGCCCCTTGTCAGTATGTTCTCATGTGAGGACCCTTGATTCTTGAATTCACTTCTATTCTGTTCAGCTTTATACACTGCGCTGTACAGCAAATGCTAATGTGTGTTTAATCCTCAAGACACTGGGCAAATAATGGGTTGGTCAGACTTTCCTCTGAAGAATAAGGGGTTTCAATTCAATTGTGTTCAGCTGTCCCTATTATTTATACACTTGCATATCTTTCTGAAACATTCTCCTTTGAGTATGAAACTTTCCATCCTTGGCTTTTAGCCCAGGGGTAAATTGTTTATGAATAGCTTGAGAGAGTTCCCTTTTCTAATTTTTCATTTATGGCTATAGTGTGTGATGGAGAATAAATTTTTCTTATAAAAAGTCAATGTTTATTCATACATGAAAATGACTACATGAGAACACCTTCAAATTTGGTGTATCACCAGACTGTCCACACTGAAAGTATTTCCCAGATAATTATGGGGGCAAAAGTTCTAAATTAAGAATTTATTAGGCACTTAGTACGCTTGGCCGTGTACTTCCGCTAAATCTAATTAAGATCAGGCCCCTATTGGCTTCACTAGAGAGTGAGGTCATGTTATGACACAACTGGAGATTTCATATGAACTGGCATGACTTCATTTTCTAGTTAGGAAAATCCCCCCCAAGTGATATCCCTGAAAGAACTGAACATTCTGTTTGAGCAAGGTCCACTCTGGGACAGAAACTGCTGCTTCTCACACTACTAGCAGGACTGCTCCCATCAATATAATATTAAAAAATATATAGATTTTTTATTCCAACAATAACAAAGGAATTGGCCAGAAAGAGTATCAAAGCTTTGAGATCAACAAAAGAAATTTGGTTGAAGATTCAAAACTTTCCCCTTATTACTGATTAGCCCTAATTAGATCTGGAAAGACACCAGTTTTTTTCACCTTATACTTAGATGACCTTATCACTTCCACACTGCCTTCATTACGGCAAGCCTATCACTAAGAGAAAGAGAAGCCACAAGACTATTTATACTTACAACAGAAGTGACAGGCATAGCAATTTATGGCATATTGTTTACTGAAATGCCATGGTGGTATTTCAAAATCTGAAGAGTGGACCCAGTCTCACAGTACTGATCAGGTAAAGCTCATTTTTTACTGGTACATGTTTTGGAATTACTTTCCAATGAAGTAATGTTACAATGCAGGGGGACATTATCTCTACAGCAGGCACCACAGGCCTGCTGTGGTGCCAGATTGTAGTCTGAGCTATGACTGAGAAGCACACAGAATAGCTCTGGAAGGAGGTACAAAGCTGACATGTAGTTCACCATTGCACTTCTCCAATCCTGGGCCAGCCACTTGCTGGGATGCTCCTCTGGGGCAAGTGAGAACTTCCTAGCGGTTGTTTTGAAGTCTTTTTTTTTTAAGTATATTGACTTATGAAAAAGATACATATAAGGGTTGTTCACTGTGTGATATATTGACTTGTTTTCCCCATATCATCACTTACAGTGAAACCTGAGGCTCCATATGGCATAAATATCACATTCCAAAAGGATGCAGATGAGTATCTTATTCAATACAGTACACCACACACAAGGAAGAAATATCTAAAGGACAAATTAATACATGAAATAGCCTATCATGAGGGAAATGGGACTTGGAATGTAAGTTAAAATGTATACTGATTTTCTTTCTAACTGCCAAAGCCTAGCTTAGGAGAAGTACTAATGCTATATGCAAACAATGTACTTAATATCTATTGTCCCTTAGCGGAAAGTTTGAAAACAGCAGTAATTGTGAATAGATCATTCACTTCTAGGTTACCATTTCAAATCCATTCCAGACTGATAATGACTGAAAATAGTCTGAATCCATTTGACCACTTGCAATATCTCCTTCACAGGAGTGTCTAGAATTGATTGGTTGATTGATTGATTAATGCTTATTGCAATGAAAACAGAAGACATGAAATCAATGCTAAATGCTAATAATTGTGATCCTTGTTACATTTTTATTTGTATTTTATATACATATCAATAGATAGGTTGCATTATACATATGCTTTTCATTACCATATTTAAATATGTATAGTTACAGTGGGGTAGTAGCAACAATGGCAGCAGGGAGCCCCGGTCTCTTTTAAATTGCCAGGTCTCAGGGCTCTCCCTGTACTGCTCACCTGTATCCTTGCCAAAATTGAAATTGCTAAATGGGGTGCCCCCTCATGCCCCTGTTCTTCTGGGAGACTCTCGCTGCATCCCCTCCTCCACGGGCACCAATCATCTATGCTCTGAATAGCTAGGATTTTGAATAAAATTTGTCATGTAAGAGCAGAGTCTATTTCTTTAGCCCTATTTCACAGTAAAGAGAATTGTCCTGCCCTTTGGAAATGCTCTGGCTGGGCAGTATCTGCACTGTGAATAATTGATTGTGTATTGCTCTCCTATGCATATGCATTTCCCTGAACTGTTACTGGGCTGTACTCACATTTAAAGTAGGGCAATTGTCCCTGTTAGATAGTGAAGGTTTCAGAGTCCATAAATCCTCCCTACCAAGATGATTTGCACATACATAACCTTTCCCTTACCATGAAAAATATAATTTTCCATTCTGACAAAAAATAATCAGATCTTTCACTCTTTAGACAATAGATTCTCAGTATCTTCAGATAAAATTACTGGGAAAAAACCTTCAGAAGGGTGCAAGTTATGAAGTGAAAGTGCGATCAAAGCCTGATGGCAAGTTTTTCAAGGGTTTCTGGAGTGAATGGAGCTCCTCTGAATACTTCAAAAATGCAGTGGGACATCTCGAACGGGAAGATAAGCCACAGGAATCCAACTTCAGTAAGTTTGCAAAAGCCTAAAACCCGACTAAGTCACTTAGTAAAGCAGATCAGATGTGAGGTGAGGCAAAGAATCAGGGGCTCCTAATGACTCCCTGATTCTCTATCTAGCCCTAGTCCTGCTTCCTGTGCCAGCTGCCAATGATGCTCCACCGGCCACCTTTATACCCTTCACATGCTTCTGCCTTTTCCCTGCACTGGCTTCTGGAGGGAGACTGACATAGGAGCTGCCTGTCCTAGTTCTGAGCCTGTTGGTTCCTTCCCAAAGCCATCTGAATTTGAAACAGGGATAACAGTGCCTGATTGCATCCTGTTTATACTAAGGATGGCACAATGTGGACAGAAGGGGTCCCATTCAGTTTTTTTGATGACTTGATGAGGCTCCAAAGATATAGGGCAATTTTCACCCAACATGTTAGCCATAGCAGAGTTTGAGCTGTACAGAAGGATCCATCTTAATATTGCCCACTGTAAAATGCAGTTATCTCATTTTAATCACAAACTACATTGTGGAGGAAATTTAACCATTTCAGTTGCATACAACAGCAAAACCTGGGACAAACACTGACCAGCAGTGATCTCTGGTAAGCTGTGTGCTTGTGCAGCGGCTCAGGAGAGATTCAAATGCTGTCCAGGTGATCAGCAGAGTGCCCACAGCTCAGTTTTTATCTATATTGGGGTGCACATTCTCACATGTTTGAGAGCACACACAAATGTAGTGCTTGGGACTGGTTGCCCTTGGCTCCGCCCCTTCTTCACTCAGTCCCACTCTCTTCTGGGAGCACGAAGCCATCACCCCCCCCCCCAAAAAAAAAACACACCTTGCTCGGGGGCCTGTGAAGGCTATCGGCTGCTGTTGCTGAGCTACAGAAGGTTGAAAATATGTCCTTCTCCATCAAAGGGTTTGATCCTGAGTTTTGGCTGAGATATAATCAGTACACCCCCCAAGGTAGATATGCAAAAGTTGCTCTACACCATCTTTAAATTCCTCAAATTCCCCAAGGCAGGGCATAAATCAGTGGAGCGATACCTCAGATGAAATGGCATTGTTTTCCTGATGCCATAGGCAGCCAATGCAGTTTAGAACAGCCTTCAAACTATTCTAATCTAGACTAGGAGACTAGCCTGGTGTTAGCCAAAGATCAAGGTGCTAAAAACCACCTTTTCCCCTCTTCAGATGGATGGGAGAATTGAGGTAGCTGAATCAATACATAATTCCAAACTCTATAAAATATGTCAATATCCCCCAGTAATGTTAGGTTGTTTTTCTTAAAAAAGACTTTGTCGTGATAGTGGACAATAATAACTACATATAGAATAAACAAGTTTGACACTATCAGAGTGGGTCTTAATAAAGACTGGGAGTGGCTAGCTCACTAGAAAAAGCAATTTCCCTTCTTCTTGTATTCTCAACTTCTGATCAACTGTTGGGAATGGGCCACATCCACACTCATTGAATTGACTTGGTTAGCACTGGTCTTCTGCATAGCAGTGTAACACTCCCATCTTTACACATGTGTATCTAGTCCTGCCAAACTGAAGATTCCGCTTCATGCATCTGACAAACTGGGTTTCAGCCTCTAAAAGCTTATGCTAAAGTAAATGTGTTAGTATTAAATAAAGCACCACAGGACTATTTGTTGTTTTTGCTAAAGCAAAATAACACAGCTCCCTTCTGACACCCACTTTGGTATTTATTGGTTTTTTTTGTTTTGGTTAGGCATCGGAATGCTCGTGGTTACAATATCTACTGTGACTTTCGTTTTGTTGTTTATCATACCTGTCTTGATCTTTTGGGAAACCAGGTAAATTTGAATCATCTTTCCTCAAAAGTGTATTAAGCTAATTGTACTGTGGAGACCTTATCTCCTCTTTTTACACTGTCTAACAATTCTCACCCCATCCCCTGGCCTCTCCTGCAATGTGAACATGCATAAATCAGAGAAGGGAGAAAGGAAATAAGGTAAGATAAGAGGTGGGCAAAATTAGACTGGATGGTGCCTTTACACTTCCAGATTAGCTTGCTGTCACATGCTCTACATCCTAGGGTCATTCTGAAGGTGGTACAAAATTCTGCAGGCTGCTTATTGAGTAACATGGTTCAATGGGAACACATTAGGCAAGTCTTCTATGGTCTTATCTGACTTCCAATAAGCTTCTGAGAGGAATCCGTGGTGCAGGCTTTCACCTATAAAGCCCTGACCTATAAAGTCATGGTTGGAAGATGGTTACCGGGGAGTTTACCACTCTTCCCATGATCCACAGCCACAGCAGCGATTGTCAGTCTAGAGCTTGTAAACGAAACTGTTCCAAGGTGGCACTAATTTTGATTTCCTCAAACTTCTGGGACCCAACTTGATAGACTGATTTACTGTGATGCTGAACATCTGTGATTCTCATTAACTTCAGCTGAAATTCCAGCTACTGAACACCTTTGAAAAAACAGGACTTAGATGTCATAAGTTGAACACCTGATGAAAGTGGCATCCCAAAGATTTAAATGATTAACTTACATTGAATAGTCCAGGGGCACCTTAGAGGCTAATAAATATATTACATCATGAGCTTTTGTGAGTAAAATCCACTTCACGAGATGAATCCGAGTGGAAATTGCAGAATACAAGGCATATATAACAGCAAAAGCAGTAACCTGTCAACTGACAATCTACAGCTGGGGTGGGCAAGAGGCTGCCAGTGGGCCAGATCCGGCCCATCAAGTCAATGGATCCAGCCCACAGCTGCCTCGCTGGGACCCTTAAGCAAAGCACAGCAGCAGTCACATTGAATGTGGCTGCTGTGTTCTGAGAGGGTATGTCTAAACTACCACCCTAGTTCGAACTAGGGTGGTAGTTTAGACATACCCTCTCAGAACACAGCAGCCACATTCAATGTGACTGCTGCTGTGCTTTGCTTAAGGGTCCCAGCGAGGCAGCTGTGGGCTGGATCCATTGACTTGATGGGCCGGATCTGGCCCACTGGCAGCCTCTTGCCCACCCCAGCTGTAGATTGTCAGTTGACAGGTTACTGCTTTTGCTGTTATATATGCCTTGTATTCTGCAATTTCCACTCGGATTCATCTCGTGAAGTGGATTTTACTCACAAAAGCTCATGATGTAATATATTTATTAGCCTCTAAGGTGCCCCTGGACTATTCAATGTAAGTTAATCATTTAAATCTTAATCCGTGCCGCGTGTAGCCGCGAGCACGGAGTCCGAACTATCGGGGATTTAAAAATGGCGGCACCCGGCAAAATGCAAATGAAGCCTGCGATATTTAAATCCCGGGCTTCATTTGCAACTTCGACTGACTACATTAACCGCCCTCGTTCGAACTAGGGTGGTAGTGTAGACATACCCGGAGTGAGGAGGGAGGCTTTGTGCTTTGTCCTATGCCTCAGCAAAATCTCTCAGCTCCCATTGGCCAATTTCTCACTAATAGTAGTTGAGATATTTTTCTGGCAGCAGGGGCAGCCAATGAAGCCTCCTCCACCCTGCTGGAGCAGAGCCACATGGAGCAACTTGCAACTGAAGCCTTTAAGTTCCTTCAGGACTGCTGACTGGGAGCTGCCTAGGTAAGCGCCTCCCAGCCACAGCCTACCTCTGGCACCCCCATCCTCTCCCCACCAACTACCTGCCCCAGGCCACCCTCCAGACTCTCTGTGCTCCTTTTTCTCAGGCCACAACTCCCAGACTCTGCAGCCCCTCTGAAAGGCCAGAATCCTCTCCTGAACCCATAGCCCCTCCCTGACCCTGCACCCCATTCCCCTGCCCCAAGTCATCACCCAAACCCTCTGTACCCTCTTCACCAAGGTCACAATTCCCTTCAAGGCCCTGCACCCTGTCCCAGAGCCCTTCCCTCAAGTCAGAATTCTCTCCTGCACCTGTACTCCCACCTGGACTCTGCACCCCAAGCCTCTGCCCTGCCCCAGATCACAACCCCCTCCTTCAACCAAACTTCCCTTCAAACTCCACACCCCCTCCTGCACCTAGTCTCCTACCTCAAGCTCCCTTCTGCACCCAGCCTCTATCCCAGACCCCAAATCCCCTTGGTAGAAATGTGGCCCTTGATCACTTGCCAAAATCTTGGAGTGGTCCCCCATTAAAAATTATTGCCCACCCAGATCTACAATCTGTCCTGGAAAACAATCCCTCACTCTCACAGACTTCAGAAACAGGCCAATCCCCAGTTTCAGACAGCCCCCCACCTGAAGCAAATACTTATCAGCAACCACACCACCAAACCCCAGATATACTCATCCAAGAACCTACCACTGCAACAAACCTTGTTGCCAACTATGCCCGCATATTTATACAAGCAACACCATACAGGACCAAATAAGTCACATAAGTGGCTGATAGAACTGCACATCCTCTAACTTGATATATGCCATCATGTGCCAGCAATGCCCCTCTGCCATGTATATTGGCCAAACTGGACAGTCTTTGTGACAAAAGATAAATGGACACAACTCAGACATCAGGAATAATAGCACATGTAAGGGGACCATTTTAAGCTCCCTGGACATTCAGTAATGGATTTTAAAGTAGTCATTTTTGGAGACTGCTGAACTAGAATTAATTTCAAGTTTCACACTACTAACCTGGACTTGAATAAAGACATTAATTGGTTTAACACACTACAAAGACAATTTTCCCAGTCTTTGATATTCATATTTTCACATCAATAGCTATGAATGGGACATATACATCTTACTTAATTAGCTTCATTAACACGGGTCCTACAATTAACAGGTAACTACTTTTGCTGTTATATATACCTTCAATTCTGCAATTTCCACTCCAGTTCATATGATGAAGTGGGTTTTACCCATGGAAGCTCATGATCTAATCTATTTGTTGGTCTCTAAGACTACTAGTTGTTTTTAAAGATACAGACTAACAGAATTACCTCTCTGAAACTATGTACCTAATTGTCTCTATCACTACAGTGTTTTGTGGGTTAATTAGCCAATAGTTTGTGAAGAACATTGTATATGAAAACGTCTATTCACGTAACAGTAGATCTTATCACTCAAAGGCAGTGGAAAAAGACACATTCCACACCACTCATGTCCATCCTCTAGCTTTACTGTTAGAATGAGTTCAGATATGGTTTTATATATCTCATGCTGAATAATACAAAACACCCAGATAGTCTACAAGAATAGAAAAAATGAGCACAGGATCTGTCGAAAAAGCTCCCCGCTGTCGGCAGAACCGGGGCTACACAGCACTTTCACTTTTGAAATGGTGTGTGATCGGCACAGCATTGGAACGTGAGTATGCAAATGAAGCCCGGGATATTTAAATCCTGGGCTCATTTGCACTTTCGAAGTGCTTTATTTGCATCCCTCTGCCTTTAATTATGGAAATTGCCACAATCCCTTCTTGAATACTTTTGTTGTTACAACCTATCTCATTTTAGAATCAAGCCGCTTTTTTGGCCAGAACTTCCTGATCATAAAAAAACTTTGGAGCAACTGTGCAAGAAGCCAAAAAAGGTATGTCTTCCATTGCTGTGATTACCTGAGTCTGTGTACAGAGAACATAAATAATACTCTGACATGCAATTTAGGGCCCTGCCAAATTCACAGTCCATTTGGGTCAATTGTAAATTTCATCATTTCACTTGAAATTTCAGCCTGAAATTTCACAATGTTGTAATTGTAGGAATCCTGACCCCAAAAAAGAGCTCTGAGAACTTTGTGTTGATGTGTGGATGAGTAGGGGTGGTATTGTAGCAGGAATTGTAGTGCTGCTGCTCTTACTTCTGTGCTACTGCTCATGGCAGGGCTGTAATAGAGCTGGACTTCTGGAAAGTGGTGGCTTCTGGCTGGGAGGCCCTCTTCAAAAGCAGAACAATTGCCAGCAACAGCACAGAAGTAAGGATGGCATGGTATGGCATTGCCACTCTTATTACTTCTGAGCTGCTGTCTGCAGAGCTGGACCCTCAGTCAGCAGCTGCTTCTCTCTTTTCACCCAGACCTGTAGGCAACACAGAAGGGTGGTAATAACATGAGCCCCATCCCATTAAATAATCCAGCAACCCTCCTGTAATGTCTTTTTGGCCAGGACCCCCAATTTGAGAAATGCTGGTATCTCCCATGAAATCTGTATAGCATAGAGTAAAAGAGCACAAAAGACCAGATTTCATGTCTGTGATGTGTTTTTCATGGCTGTGAATTTGGTAGGGCTCTATCCAGGGCCGGATTAAGACCTTTAGAGGCCCTAAGCACTGAAAAGATTATTGTGCCCCCCCCCATATGTAATTCAAAATAAAAACAATGCTATATCATATAATCTCTTTTTTTTCTTTGGTGCCCCTGCTTTGCTGGTGCCCTAAGCATGTGCTTAGTCTGCTTATTGGGTAATCCAGCCCTGGCTCCATCTATAATTATATACTGGGCCATGTTTTCAAAGGAACTTCTAAATTTGATTAATAAATGCTACCATTTGCACGTGTAAATGGTATTTGCATATGTAGATGAAGTAGTCAAACATTTAACTATTCTACTTGAGATTTTGCTTGTGAAAAATAATGATGGCACTTGATGGCCCTAAATTGTGATTTATTTGGAAATTCGTACCATGATATCCTTCCATTTTTATGTAGTCAATATGGTTACTCACAGTGTACAAAGTTAAGCAGGTACATTAGCCTTTGGCTGACTGGAGCCTAACTGACTACAGTTCCAGCTGTAAGGTGTGTAATTAGCCCATTGATTTACAATTAGCAGTGCTAGTTTTCCTCCCTGGCAATGTAATAGTGCTGTTTCATGAGTGGAATAACATTCTCCAGAAAATGTATCATCTGAGAGTACTAAAAAGCCTGAAGCCTTTGGCCCGTTGCCTTACATCTAGGTCACAAACAGATGTTTGTCATGGCTAGACTCCTTTTTTCTTTGCTGCTGAAGTGGAAGTAGCCTTGACAATCTTAGCTAGTTGAGAAGGGACTGGTGAGTGTAAAAGGTTCAGAGTCACTGCCTTAGGTAAATCTCTTATAAAGGTCAGTCTGTTATGAGTTAGTTTCCAGATTGCACCTCGGTCTGATTTTGATTCAAGATTGTTTGTTTGTTTGTGTAGTTGGTGGGTTGAAAGATGCTAGTTCTTTTTTTTTTTAATGAAAATGTTAAAGGACACAAACACAAATCTTCTAAAATCCGATGACTTGTGGAAGTGTGTTCCCTTAACTTAGCACCTGCAGTTAACTGAACCTATTATCCTCTTTGTCACACACAGAATTTTGATATAAGCTTTAACCCGGAAAAATTTGGGTATGTTCATATTCATAAAGTGGATGGCATTCAAGCCAAAACAGAAGTGGAAAGTTTTCTGCAGCCATCGGCTCCTCTAGATGTTTCAGAAAAAGTTAGGAATGAATTGGATATGAAGAAGAGCCCTACTGATGTAGACAAAAGTGTCCTAAAGCTGCCTGTGACTTATGGAGGATTCTGGCCATCTGACACGTTAAGTGAGCACTTGTGTGAGACTCACCCTTTCATATTGGATGGATTCAGCAATGGCATCCCATATAGGCTGTGCAGTATCAATGGTACACAACTCTATAACTATGGTCTTATGACACATTCCAGCTCTCCAGCAGACCTCACTGTTCAGCCCAGACCAGGACCCATAAACACCGACACAATGTCCCATATACAGCCCAGTAATGGAATTAGGTCATCAAATAAAGACGAAGCATATGTCACAATGTCCAGCTTTTGCAAAAATCAGTAAACCTCAAAAATAATAAGAACATAGAATTTGCTATAACAAAGCAAACATTTGGTTCTTCTTGTTTGGGTCTTCCGCCTCTTGCTGATTGATTCAGAGAAAAATAAATTCTATAATGTACCTATCCCCATTTTGCAATGCTCTAAGCAATTTGGATGTATTTTTCTTGGCCTCTAAGGACAATGGACCAAATTCTGTTCTCAATTACACCAGTGTCAATGAGGAGTAAATCTTGTGTAACTGAAAACAAATTTGGTTCCATCCATTTAAGACCTTAATCATGAGAGGTGATTAATCTCCGACAACAATATACTATAACATTGTACTTCTCTATTGCGCTCTATCCAATGATCAGTGAGTGCTTCACATTTGTTTACTCTCCTATCAACACCTCAGTTTATACAGCTACAGATTTTGTTAATGGACATAATATGACTGCAGAGTCTAGGTAGGTTAAGTAGATTCTGCTCTCATTTAGACTGGGTGAATGAATCAGGAGCAAGAAGTCAGTGGCATTATACCAGTTGTCAAAACAGAGTAAGTGATATCAGAATTATCCTGTATTCATTTGGGATTCAGGATCTGAGCTTGGTCCCCAACCAGCAATGTCTTGAGGCAGAATGCTCAGCTCCCAGGGGAAAGAGAGAGCACACAACATCGCTTTCTAACAAGCACTGATACACTCCCAAGATAGCAGCTCCCATCCTAACACAGCCACAGCAAGGACTGTGCTCAGGCATGGCTTGTGAGACTGTGTACAATAATAAGCAAAAATTGATGTCTTGGTGCTTAAAGGCTTCAAATAAATTAGCTACACCTGGAATTCATGTGTGGAAGAGGGTTGAAGGTGGGAGCAGAAAGGTGGATAGAACCAGGGTTAACACATATAAACAAAGTAATAGTGGTTCAATATAGGGATGGACTCTCCCCTGGATACTAGGAAAGTTCAGATGCAGAGTCAAACTTAGTAGCTCAGCCCAGTTGCTAGTTTGTTCTATTACCTGTCTTTATTACTACTGTACCAACAGTTTTTATTGTACAAAACAATGGGCCAGATCTTCAACTAGTGTAAATTGGCTTAGCTTTGGTAACATCCAAGGATCAATGCTGATTTACATCTGCTGAGGGTGTGGCTTATTGCTCCATGACTACAAAATAAAAAGATACCTGGGGACATGATCCCCAGGGCCAGTTAAAACATACTGCTAAAGGAGATGCAAAAAACAAGTCACTGTTTTATTTGTTGTTAATCTAAACAGAAAAATACATGTAAAACTAGAATAGTACAAATACAGCATGAAGCAAAACACATGGCATGATATTTGATTGGTGATTCTCAGTTGTGTTCATGTTGATCAGCACTGATGTGCCTTAAAACATGGTGCCAGACCCTTAACTGTTATAAATAGGCATTGCTCCCTTGCAGGGCATCAGTGACATGCACGACACCTTTTTTCTCTGCCCTCTCATGCATATGTGAGTGTGGCCTGTGAGTTATTTCCCAGGGCTCCCTTTGTCATGGGTACCTGACACGGCCTTATTTTTTCATTATCACCAGTCACTGTAGGTAAGGGCGAGTCAGCAGGTTTTGTACCAGGGCTGGCAAATTTTCCTAACTACTTTGCAAAGCTGGTACCTCTATTAGATCAATTTTCTTACAAACTGTTCAGTAACAATGTCAGAGGAGTATTTAGCTTTCTCCAGTAAGAGGAAACCTTGCCTCTTCCCCTCTCCTTACTCCACAATTCCATGATGTACTTTATATTCTGTCACCAAGGGATAGTTGATCCAGGATGTAGTTCCACTGGCCTGGCCATTGCTTGATGGGGAACTGGTGTGGAGGAGTTGCAGGCGCTGCTACAGCCTCAGGGTTGCATGACCGCCAAGGAATATAGTCTGAAGAGAGAAAAGCTGCTTAGCTGTGCTCTAGGCTAAGGGTTTGCCCTTTGTGAGGTATCATGTCCTCTAGCTGCTTTAAACTCCCTTTTTGGGAGTGGCCTGATTAGTGCAATAAGAAGTAACTTCTTCAGGTCATGTACTTTTTAAAAACTAAGTACATGGGAAGGACTAAACAAAAATCCTCCTTTCATTCATTTTTCAGGCTAAACTAAAAAAATAGAAAACCAGTTATTGTTCCAATCTGGCCATACCAGATTCTAGACACCTATGTTTAATTTGACCTCATGGTCCTGATTTGGCTTTTGCTTCCAAATTAAATGGACTAGAACCTTTTGGTTTGGTTGAGATATGCTTAGCAGAGAACCATGGGAATGGAAATTGTGACTCCAAGCTACAAGGCTGCTTTTAACTTGCATTGGCTAGTTTCAGTCCCTGAGAGGCTATTACATTAGCCAGGGACAGCTGGAGCACAACAGCAATCTAATCATGAACCCCGTGTTCCCAGTCATGCCCTCACACACCCTGCACTGTGGCAAACTTCAGTCAGGCACAGCATTATGGTATGTTTATGCAGAAAGGCCAAGGACATGGCCCAAAGTATTCGATGTATCACATACTTTTTTTATTACTGTTTATCACATAGTAGTAAGATGATATAGTAGATAAAATTGAACTAAAGCACTGGACTTTAGTTCCTTTGCTTTATACTGCTCCTATTTCATAAAAACAGCTGCTAATGCTTAAAATATGCAGACTTGCACAGTGCAAATGTAGATGCAAACAAACTATCTCAGGAAGTGATTCTGTTCTTTTACCACATTACCAAACAGGAAAAAGAATGCTGTATAAAAGAATAGGTTGTATGTAGGTAGCGTTACACTTATTTTAAACTCACACATACACAGTGTTAAAAGGTAAAAGGATTATATAAGCATCTGTCTGCAGTTTTAAACAATAATGCACATATCAAAGAATAGTCCTACTATTCCTACTAGGATACAATGTTGCTATTTTATATTGTAAGAGTGGATTATTGCAAACATTAACCACTACTCTACCTAACAGCAAATTCTCATACAAAGCTTCCATATGCATTAGATATATTTTTGCATAGCTGCTAACGTCTGAGTACCATATTTCTGTCTTATTTAATGAAAGAACATGTACACCTCTTTTGTAAAGTTTTAGCATATTAAAAGGATATCTATTTGCATTATATATTTGTAGTTCTCATTTTTGTAACAACATAATTGACTGCTAACATTCAAGCTGTGTCTGATTCTGCACTTACTGAAACTGCTTTTCTATGGGTATAACTCCAGTGAGCCAGTTCTGATCCCCCTCCAGGCAGCATAAATCAGAAATAACTCACATTAAGTCAAAGGAATTAAACCACTGTGAGATCAGAACTGAGCCCAGACTATGTCCTTACACCGTGTCCTGCACTGCATGGTTTTAAAATATGCTTTATTCATTGTTCAATGAGCAATAAGAGAAAATGGGATTTTTTGACCCTGAAACCTCTCACATACTGCTTTTACTACAGTGTCACTGCATGAAGTTGAGTCCTTACTTACAATTTACTCCCTCATATGTTATACATTCTGTTAGATATAGCCAGGAATCTGTAATTTCCCCTCCAACTCATCTGATGAAGTGGGTTTTACCCACAAAAGCTCATGATCTAATATATGTGCCACAAAACTGCTCGTTGTTTTTTAAGTTACAGACTAACATGGCTGCCCTTCTGAGCCATTTTCCCTTGTGTGAGTTGAGGGAACCTAGGATCTATACTGTAGCACTTACCAATGTAGAATTATGTTTTGTGTCTAATATCGGTAACACTCATGGGCTTGACCCTTGGTTAATGAGGGTTGAGGGCATTCAGCAGCTTTCACCTCATATTTAGAAAAAGTCTGTGGATTGTGAACTGAAGGTTACCATTGGGGGCTGAAGGAATCAAGATGACTTTTTACTTGTCCAAGGAGAGATGATATAGTTGACTGTTAAGCACACTGCACACTCCTGAAAGGCATGGATTGAGTCAGCCACTGTGTCCATAGTCTGTTGGCAGCAGAATTGTACATTTGTGAATAAAAGTTGGTGCATTACAGTGAGTCATTAATTTTATGTCTCTGTCCTCTCATTTGCCCTCCTAAGATAAGAACATGCACAAGTATAATAATCTTTCGATGTCACAGCAAAATATTAGTGCCTGTCACAACTTAGGATGTAGTTCAGATAAGTGAGAGCTTATGTCACAGCTGTCCTGTAATCTGAGTGCCTTAGTATGTGCTGCTGCTATAGCTGCTGGATGAAGGCTCTGAGCCAACATATTCACATGCATGAAGTGTCTGTGTGTTTAGCAGCTCAGATTCAGCAACTCTGGCTCCCATAACCTGATTGTTACACCACAGCCACACACTAGCCTCCATGAACCTTCTTTACCAAGAAAGCCCAGCCCACTCCTTAATTCCAAATTCCCCCCCAAACCATCTGCCTTGAAATGTCTGTGCATCTTCTGGAATATTCAGCAAAGTAATAAGGACTATTGCTCTTTTAAAGAGGTCAAAGCACAGCAGCTTGTTACTTTAAATGGAGTTAACAATCACCTGTAGTCAACACAGTACTGAGTTGATGTAGAATAAAAATGACACACGTTTATTTAATCAATAAGAAAGTAGATTTAACTGAGGTCAAGTATGAGGACTAGTCAGAAATTCTTGGTTCAAGGAAAGATTCTTACTATATCTGCTTCCAGAAAGGTGACTGATCTCTCTCTTGGCCAGGATTGCCCACAGAGTCCAAAAAGCTCAGTTCCTCTGTCTTCATAGGTGAAAGATTACTTGGGTTCTTTATCCCTTTCTTCTACAGTCTAGTGAACTTTTGAAATATATCCTTCTCAAAGTTCAGTGCCCCCACTGTGAGCAAAGTTCTCTGGAGACTGATAAAGAAGATTTCACCCTAGTTTCTTCCCTGCTACAATGCAAAGGGATCCATCCCTATAGCTTCTGATGTGCCTGTGAATGGCCACTTGAGTATATTTGCACCTGGATGGAGGCATTGGCCTCTCTTTTGTCTGGAAAAAGCCTGTTTCAAACACATCTTAGTTCCATTTTTCTTCACATTTGTACAGGCTTTTGAGTGTTTACTATATATGAGCTCTGCAAAAATGTTAATGATCATTGTGTTACTTGTCTGCTAATGGTACTTTCACAACACACTCTGGACGGAAATTATGACAGAAGTAAATTTGGTATGCTGGTATACTTTTCTATATTTATGGAGGAGGTGCAGGGTCTGGATGGAGGTTGGGCGCAAAAAGGGAGTTCCAGTTAGGCCATTGGGATGTAAGAGAGAGTGCAGGATTTGGGGGGGGCTAGGTGTAGGAGAGGATTCTGATCTGGAGGAGGTGTGTAGAAGGGGGGGGTGGATTTTGGGAGAGAGTTTGAATGTAGGAGAGGGTTCTGACCTGGTGCAGGAGAGGGTTGTGACCTAGGGTAGGGGGTTGGGTGCACAAAGGTATGGAATGCCAGGTGCAGGCTCTGGCTGGGAGGTACTTACCATAGATGGCTCCCAGCCAAAAGAAGAAAAAAATCTGCACCAAAAAATGTAATCACTATATTTTAAATTTCTGCAAAATTCTGCATATTTTATCGCTCAAAGTAACACAAAATAATCACGACAGCTTCCAGTTATTTACTTTAAACCCCCAGGGGTCTCTGACTCCCCTTCCTCCTGCCCTCCTGTGTTCCTGAACTCCCATTCTCATTCAGCCGCGGCTTAGTGCTATCCCTCCCAGCTTCTGTGCTCAGACCCCTGTGCCCAGTCTGTCCCTGCTCACAAGCCCTTTTATGACCTCTGTGTGCCCCGGTCTGGCAATTCCCTCGATATCCTCTCCCCTCTTACCTGGCCCCCCACAGGCATGTTGCTATGAGAAATGCAGCCACTGCTCTCTTCCTCTCAATAGCTGGCTGCTCTGACTCATGAGTTGGCGGTCCACTCTTCTGGTGCCACAGCAGCCCCAGGCGGGTGAAAGGTGTAATTGCAGTGCCTCTCAAGAAGCAGGTATAATTCTGCTGAGGAAAAAATCTGTAGGGAACATGAATTCTGCGCCAGAGGTAAATTAAAGTTGCAAGAAGAAGTCAGGTCCTTGCTGGACATTGACTGTACATCAAATAAATCCTCATGTGTATTTTTTGTTTTAAGTGAATACAGGCAGTCCCCGGGTTACGTACAAGATAGGGACTGTAGGTTTGTTCTTAAGTTGAATTTGTATGTAAGTCGGAACTGGTACATATTGTAGGGGAAACTCTAGCCAAACATTTCTCCAGAGCTCAGTTTTATTCTCCCACACCTCACTTCCCTCAGTCCTTTATTCTCAAGCTGAGGTGTCTGCTGAGAAAAGCCGCTCTGCGTCTCCCTGGTCTGCTGGGGGGAAGCAGCTAGTGCGGGGTTGCCTCACCCCATTTGTAAGTAGGGATTCGATGTAAGTCGGATCCATGTAACCTGGGGACTGCCTGTACATTAAATCTATTGTGTTGATTACATATATTTCTGCCTCTGTTGTTTCAGACTGATGAAAGCAAAAGGCTGCTATGGAGAATTCAACCTTTGTACTAGTAGTTAACTGCTCTAAAGAATTTCTCACCATATAATTTCCCTCCCCCCACCTCTCTACACACACAATTTTTCTTTCCATATTTTTAAAATTTAAATGTGAAACCAATGAAAGTTTTAACAGATTTTTAAAACCCAATGAAAAGGAGAATGCATTTAGATTTTTTTAAATTACAAAATTTATGTAAGTGTAGCAAACATCTCTTTTGTTTGTTTTGTGTCAGGAGTTAAATTATTTCTAGCTTTAGTCTTTAAAAAGGGTAGAAAGACCCTTATGAAAGTCATATTTAACCTTTATGTCAATCTCCCTTATTTCATCTACTCAAATTAATGTATTTATAACCTTTTAAATTTGTTGGAAATTTGCACCTGTTGACTTTAGCTGTAAGCAGGCTTTTAATTTAAACTTTGTAACACTCTTTTGCAGGATATCCATTGTAAAGTGTGAAGATTTGGGGGAGGGGGGGAATGTGAGTCCTATCATTTACAATCAACGTTTTTAAAAAAGATAAAACCATGTGGATTGAGTAACTGCAGGACAAAATAAGATTAAGATTACCTCCCCTGTCTACCCATGTCATCTGAAGCAGTTAACTTTTGAAACAAAATAATTTTTATTAGAAATAAAGGACTATTCGCATGCTTTTATATTGACTCTACACATAACACTAAGAAAGCAGCATTTTGAAACCAAGAGGTACCATTTTGTCACAAAGCTATATTTTTCTAACTGTACAAAGCAGTAAAAAAAAAGACTGCTTGCTCTTGTTATCTGAAAAAACAGTCCCAAGACTCTCTCTTACGCAACTTTTTTCTTAATTTAAAACTATGTTCTTTTGCTGACATATCTTTTTTAAACATAGCAAATTTAACATGAAAAAACAAGCACTGATGATTTTTTGAAAGGTACATTACAAAGTGATCTGGTTCAGGAGTATTCTGTAGTGTTTTAGTGCAATAAAAATCACTACCCTATCCTTTTAAACTGCCACGCAAAAAAAAAAAAAAAAAAAAAGCTACCATGATGGATGACTGCAAAGTCAAAACAAGGTGGCAGGAAGCAGCTTTGGCTGCCTGAGGAAGCCTCTGAATGAAATGAAGGATGGCCCACAAAATTACAGGAAAATAAATCACTTGCATTTTTAAAGTTGAAAGTTTTTAAATGAATGTATTTTTATTATAGAATTATTTTATACCTGTTCAAAAATATTAACATTCAAGACAAATAAATAAGGTTCACAGCACTGTAGCCAGTCCCTCAAAAATAAATGGAATCTGAAATGAGGTAAAATGATACATGTGAAATAAATTAGTTTATTAATTTAGTATTAGACAGAGAGAACGAGCAAAAGCCAAAAAATTGAAATAATATATAAGCCTCTTTATACACAAAAAGAGCCTGACCTGAACAGAGTAAATATGAGGGGGAAAACATGAAATTAACAAAAGACTGTAGAGCTGTAATAATCTAATCTCATCCCCACCTCCACACTTTCCACTCACCGTTTTGTATGATTTCCTGTGAGGGAAAAAGGACAACTCTTGTCCCATTCTCTGTGGAATTTCCTTTTAAGAAAAACTTTGATTTTAGGGTTTCTGCTCAGGAACTCTCTCACCCCAATCACAGGTGAGGGCAGGGTAAGAGGCTCCCAATTCTGATAGGAACCTCAAACAGCATGTGCATACATGTGTGCTCATGCACGCACACACACACGCATATATAATCCAAGAGCATGACAGAAAAATTTCTGATCTATCTGGACCTGCTTTCTTTTCCTTACCAGCCTGAAGCTATGTCTATATTACCAGGTTATTATTTTGAAATAACTCCCACTCCCAAAATAACTATTTCTAAACAGCTTCAGAGGGGATAGCCGAGTTAGTCTGTAACAGGAAAAACTTAAAAACAAAATATAGTGTAGTAGCACCTTAAAGACTAACAAAACATGTAGATGGTGTCATGAACTTTTGTGGGCACAGCCCACTTCTTCAGATGACCAGACTGTTGCAAGTCCTGATCCAACAATAAGTAAGGAAAGGAGGGAGTGGGGAAGAAGGAAAAAAATTGAAGGGGAGGAAGAAAAAAAGACAGTAAAGTAGATAAACTTCAGAGGGATAGCCCTGTGAGTCTGTAACAGGAAAAACTTCAAAAACGACAATTAGTCTAGTAGCATCTCAAAGACTAAATAGTTAAAAGACTAAATAGTTATCAGCTAAATAGTTGATAAGATTTCTACATTACAGGGAAGCCTCGAAATTAGTCTGAGGCAGGTTCCCTTAATGTGGACACGCTATGTCAATTTAGAGCCCCAGGGAGCACTGAATAAATACTCTGAATGACTCTGGGGAGTAGTTATTTCGAAATAGCAGCAGCTAATCCTATTTTGAAATAGCAATTTTGAAATGGGCGTTATTCTTCATAGAATGAGGGATTGTTATTCCAAAATAACAAGCCCCTCTATGGACACTCATCTTGTTATTTCGAAATAACTCTGTAGTGTAGACATGCCATGACTGAAAAGGAAGGGTCCAGCACCCTTGCTACATCCAGTGCTACATGGAAATTGCTATATACTTAGGCCAATGGTGCTAGCCTAAGTTGTCCTTGCAACAGTAATCTATTCCCTGGAAATGGCTTGCCATATCTGCGGCTGCAGGAGTTCAGGAGGGCCAGAAGAGTCTGCAGGCCTGCAGCTCCAGAGGTTACCGACAGTAGCAATAAGCAAGCAGCCCTGTAATAATACAAACATGCCTTTCAGTTTATTACTGTACATGCCGTTGCTGGATGCTGGACTCAGCGACGCTACTTAGTTAATGTGTCAGCCTACAATATTTTTTAACTTTAAAAATAAATTTAAAAGGAAAACAGAGCTTGGTGTCCTCCTGAGGTCTCTTCCAGCTCTACGATTCTATTATTCTATGATTAACACTGACTGCCTACAGTAGTGTGCTAATTATACATATCACAACCCAGAATCAATACACATTAGCCATATGGGGCTACATTTTCCTGTGTGGCAACTGAAACATGAAATGCAGGCTATATAAAGAACAATTTCCATTACAGTAGTGACCAATGTACTAAAAAGATAAGATTTTTAAAAGAACTCAGCACTCAACAGCTCCTATCTGGGAACCTAAATAAGTCTCCCATCTAATTTCCATTGCAATCAGTGGAAAGGCTCCCATTGGTTACAAAGCATATTGGATCAGACCCTTCATGCACAGGTTTATGGAACAGCTCAGCTTCTATCTGGGCATTAATATGAAAGGATGAGATCATTTGACATGTGTGGCACCCAGCAGCTGTCACTTTGGCTTTATTTGAAAATCTGGCCATTAGCCATTATTTTGGCTTCTAACTTAGTGATTTTCAGAGGTGTTTGCCTTCTTTGCATGTTGGCATTTTTTGTGTATATGCTTGCACTTTTGGGGGGAGTGTATCCCTGGAAGTGCAAGTATCATCAGATTTATAAAAAATATAATGGAATAGTTTTTAGATACATTTACAGTTCCCTTTTTGGAGAAGAAAATCTACTTCAGAAAAGTGACACTATCAGCATTTTTTATGTGATACCAAATTCTGGCTGACATCATGCTATGATGAATCCCACAAGCAATGATGTCAAAGTGTGTCCCCACCAACCCCTGTAATAGGGTCTCACAGCAGTTACAAACATTCATGCAGTTTCCTTAGTTCAGCTGAAAGGTGAAGGAGTTTGCTCAGCCACTTCTCAGAGATCATCAGGCAGGCTCAGGTACTAAATAGGTCTGCATGTGCCAGATTAGATATAATATATGTACACATTTTTTTTCAGCACATCCTGTGATACATACTCATAGGCCGATACATTCTGTTGGTTCTCCTGTCAACAGAATTTGGTCAGATTGTTTGACTGGTGTGTGGCAGATTTATGCTATCTACATCTGACACAGATCTGCATTTATAGGGCCATACATCTGTCAGACTCCTCTGCGGACTTTTTGTGCTAACATGGCACATGATAGGCAAGCTTTCTGTGCTAACATGGCCATACTCATAGGCCGATACATTCTGTTGGTTCTCCTGTCAACAGAATTTGGTCAGATTGTTTGACTGGTGTGTGGCAGATTTATGCTATCTACATCTGACACAGATCTGCATTTATAGGGCCATACATCTGTCAGACTCCTCTGCGGACTTTTTGTGCTAACATGGCACATGATAGGCAAGCTTTCTGTGCTAACATGGCACACACCGATCCCTGTTCCCTTGCACATTAATGTGCCCATCTATTTGCAGCCTCATTTACACTGTGTAAACAACTTCTTCTGGCCTGGCCTAGTAGTAAAACAAAGCACTGACCTCTGCAAATAAAAAGATCAATAGCAAACAAATACCTGTTTTTAGTGACGCTGAGCCACAAATGTTAATTGCCTCCCAAGACTCAATTTGTTCCCTGCAGATATTATTAGTTTGTTTACCAAAACTCTTCCTCTTGTACTTGTTCATCAGAAACTATAGCAAAATAAGCATTTGCCTGAATGCCTCATGAGGCCTTCTAACATCAGTGATATATATGGGAACCAATCCTGCACAGGGTCAAGCAGCATTTAAGTGGCTCCGATGCATAAAATGTCTGGATCAGCAAAGTAAATTCTGTCGGGCATTCTTGTCCCATCCTGCAAGAGACTGAAGATCAGATTTAAATGGGTATTAAAATACCTAAAGATGCAGATAAGAATCAAGTGGGATTTTCAAAAGCACCTTAGCAGCCTAGGTGAAGAACTCCCACTGAGGTGCTGAGTACCCCCAAGGCCTATTGAAATTATTGGGAGTTGAGGGCACTGCTTAGCATAATACTCAGTCCTGCAAGTTGAAGAGGAGAAAGCACAGAGCCCCGTGTTCCCCCACTGAAGTCACATAGAAATCAATGTGTGTGGGGCTCATCTGTACAACTTTTTTACAATCTGGCCCACTATGCCTAAGCATAAGGGGTGCAAGCCACAGGAAAATTTTAGGCACCACTGTTGTCCACCACTGCCTAACCTTGTATGCACCTAAACTCAGTTGGCACCTGTGAACATTCTGTAGACCCAGAGGCTTCGTCTATACTGCACCATTTTGCACAAGAAATATGCAAATGAGGCAAAGCGTGGAATATTGCTGTGCCTCATTTGCATAATTAATTAATGGTCGCTTTTCGCGCAAGAGGCTTTTGTTCAAAAAGGAGCCATATATGTGGCTCCTTTTTGTGCAAAAACCCCCTCTTGCGCAAGCGTCATTCTTCCTGAAAAAAAGCGGAAGAATGGCTCTTATGCAAAAGCCTCTTGCACAAAATGCAGCCACTCATTAATTATGCAAATGAGGGAAGGCACGATGCCATGCTTCGACTCATTTGCATATGAGCCTTATGGTTTTTGCCTCTGAGCACACACGCTGCTGACTCAGTCTGGGCACTTAAGCCCCAGAGTGGAGAGAGGCATTTGAGAGCCTAAGTCATGTACAAGGTCCTGATCTGGAACAGGTGTTCTCAGAGGATGAAGTCTCTCAACTAAGAGTATACAAAGCTGGATAACAGGGGACGAGGGAGGAGAAGCTGCGAAACATTCTGATTTGAGGATCACTTAATCTCTTCACTGAAGTTGTTCCACTTCAGTTAAGCAATTGAAAAAGTAAATATTAAGTAGGCCAGAAAAAGACAGTGTTTCTCAACCTTTGTTTTATAAAGTACCCCTTTTAAAAAAATATATAAGTACCCCCCAGTACCTACAGCTTTCAGACACACAATTTTCTACCATTACAACACATTTGTTTAAACAACTTAATCGTAGCCGGGCGAGCGATGACATTTTTGGGTGTAAAAAGTGCAAAAATAATAAAGAGCTGTAAAACTTAAACAAAAAAATCAGTTTTCTCCAAATTTCAATTGTGTTGACGTACCCCCCAGAATTCTCTCGAGTACCCATAAGGGTACTCGTATCACCGGTTGAGAAACACTGAGCTAGAATGACTTTGAGCTAGTAGTCAGAGCACTCACATGAGAGGTGATCAGTCCCTATTCACATTCCTTTTCCCCCTCATGCAGAGCAGGGACTTTGAACTCAGAGTCTCCCATATATCCTCGCTGAGTGCCATCCTAACCCATACGCTAAAAACTGAGCCACCACTCCCCCTTAGCAATTATATTTCAGGCCTTACTAGCATTTCGCCACCTAGCTCCCATTTCACCAATAACAAAGTGGCACTGGGCACCTCTCTGAAGCCTGGGGGTCAGGGCTGGGGGTGCTGGCAATCTCAGGGCCACTTATCTCTCTAAAGCTGTGTGCAACATGAAGGTCACCAGTATGCAAGGGGAGGGAGGAATGCTAAAGATGATGTGCCTAGATGTGCATAAGGTATAAATCTAGCCTTACCTCTGGTCAGTATCTCCCACTGGCTAGCTTAAGCAGCCTTTCTCAGTATGCTGTCTTTGTGGATTACCTTTTTTGCTGTCCCTGTCATCACATTCAGGCTGTGTCTAGACTGGCAAGTTTTTCCGCAAAATCATCTGCTTTTGCGGAAAAACTTGTCAGCTGTCTACACTGGCCACTTGAATTTCCGGAAAAGCACTGACGATCTCATGTAAAATCATCAGTGCTTTTCCGGAAAAACTATGCTGCTCCCGTTTGAGCAAAAGTCTTTTTCCAAAAGACTTTTGCGCAAAAGGGCCAGTGTAGACAGCATAGTACTGTTTTCCGCCAAAAAAAAGCTTTTTTGCGGAAAACCGCGTCTAGATTGGCCACGGACACTTTTCCGCAAAAAGTGCTTTTGCGGAAAAGCATCCTGCCAATCTAGACATGCTTTTCCGAAAATGCTTTTAATGGAAAAGTTTTCCGTTAAAAGCATTTTCGGAAATTCATGCCAGTGTAGACGTAGCCTCACTGTATAGGAGTCTAGGTGCCTAATTCAGGCTTTGTGGATGGCCGTGCTCTTTTTGTAATTTTTTAGGCACCTAAAAGTTAGGAGCTGCAATGCTTAACATCAGGTTGCTTATATGCTTTTGTGGCTCTGGACCCTGTACTGATATAGAATTGTTTTTCAGTTACCACATGAACTGAAGTGGACACAGGTACAAAATGAGGCTAGACCCAATCATGAACTCAAGTGGCAGGCTGAAGCTTTTATTAATTTTTTAACACAAGGGGGAGTAATATCAACTTATCCCGGTACTCACCTATACCAGGCATTTAATTGGTTTCCTTCCAGTGTGGGGCTTACAGGGCTCCTTACCATGAAACCTGTCACTGGCACAAGTGTTACAAAGCTCCTTTTCTTATAACCTATAAAGCAGGGTAGGTACACCTCAGTGACTAGCTTGGTCAACACCCACTCCCAGCCTACCACACTGTCTGGTAGCATACTTCCTGTCCAATCCATTCCCTCATATTCTGGAATCATATGTCCACACTGTCCCCTGACAAACCTACATCCTCATCTCAAAAGGCCAATGATAATGGATCTCCCTATGCTGTAACACTGCCCCCTCTGTGTTCAGGTATATCTTGGTGACCTCTCTAAGGTCTGCTATCAGCCACCGGGGCCTTTGCATCAACCACAGACTTCTAGGAAATCCTTTTTCTCCTAGCCTCTCCTCCTGAGCTGGATACAAGAATAGGAACCACTACAATGAGTTCACACCAGTTAAGAATTTCCATATGCAGGTGAATTTCTACTAGTTGCTCTGTACAAAAAGACCGGAGTCTGATTCCTAGTTTGCATTCGAGAATATGTTTAGTTAATTAAGTTCTAATACAATTGGGTATATTGAATTAAGAGTATTTTTATAATGTATATATTAATTGCAGCTTTATCAGATTACTGTGAATTAAAAAAGAATTTTTGATTATATCAGGACAAAAATGTTTCTCTCTCTAGTATCTCCTCCGGCCCCCCACATACCACACTTCCCCATCCAAACCGAAGTAATAAAGAGGGAAAACTAAGTGAAAGTTTTTATATTTTTGAGGAATTAGTGTCTATGGCAAATCAGTCAGTTAAGAACCAAGGATCAGTGAGAGAATTCTGACACCAAACCTGTGAATCTTGGGGCTACCATCTGGATAATTAACCTCTCAATGTAATATTCAGTTCCTCCCACTCTGTAGCTAGAAGGACTTGTTTAGCAGCCCAGCTGCCACTCCAACATACTGCTCTATTTGCTTATTCTCATTTCTGACAGAGGTACAAAGGTGAAGAATGAAAGTTAATTCTGCCTGCACTAACATTAACTCCTGTGGTTTGTGTGTGTTATTTTCCTGTAAAACCATTTCCTCCTGGGGAATATGCTCTGTGGAGCAGCTGCTCCTTGGATTTCTACCTCTCAAACACCAGGGGAGTTCAAACACATGGTGTTTATTTGCACCAGAGAGTTTCTATGGACTCAGACAGAGTCAGGGAGGGGAGCACGCTGCTACTTGCATGAATCAGTGAAGTATTTGTCCAGAATTTCTGCTCCTTTGTCCCTTGCACAGATTGGAGGGGACCACAGAGCATATTGTTTACAATGGTTTTCAATAGCAGCTTGTAGTCAGTTTAGGATTCTAGGCTGCCATTGATCCATATGCTTAATTCCTACTGACATCAAAGGGCATTTCATATATCAACCGAAAACATCAACTGCTTCAGACTAAGACGTTCCCCACAGCTGAACTGCATGATCAGAAATGAGAAATCATATCATTGAATAAAGTCCTAAATAATATTTTGGAATCTTAATTCCAAACCCAGATAAACTGAGGGCCATTACTCTCGATCTTTCCATAGCTACTGCTTTGCCACACAAGCCTCTGTACAACATCTCTTGGGTATTTTCTTTATTTAGACTAAAATGCACAAGAAACTACAGTTGAATAGATGCTAATGGCTTCTGCTTCATTCAGTGCAACATTACAGATATACCTGGCTACAGTACAGCATACAACAGTGCTAGAGACTGCTGCTGGCTCTAAGCATACGACATTATTTCTAACAGCATCTGAGACTAGACTCAAGCCTTTAGGTCCATGCTGCCTTTCATCTATATGCCCTGAACTTCTGTTAAAGTTAATGCAGGGCTTCCCCATAAGTGGCAGTGCCTGGGCCTTTATATATATATATAGCTACCAATATGCTGGGCTTGGTTGTATGGTTTTGCATACGTGCAAATACTACTATATTTTAGTAGCGATCCCCATTGAATGTTATTATATTTGCTAGAGGGTAAAAAAAAAAATCAACTCAGCTCTTTTTTTCCCCTGCATACAATGTACCTTTTCCTGCAGTTACAAGTTTTGTTGTACAAAGCTGACAGAGGACCTGACTCATTACTCAGATTTGGTGCAGAAAGAGAAGAGAAATCTAATTTCAAAGCAGTGAGCTTTTATTAATCACAATGGTCTTGATTCTTTGCTCACTGAAATCTGTGGCAAAGTTCCCACTGGTTTAAATCAAGCAGGACCAGGGACAATATGTTGTGCAGTGTTGGAGCTTTTTATCTATTTACGAAAAAAAAAGTGTTTGAAAAGGTACATTGCACTTGGCCTGAAATAATTGTGAGAATGTTAAATGATTAGCATTAAGCTGACAAACTGGTTGAGTGTTAAGGTTAGTAAGATAAAATGTTTCACGTCACTGGCTTAAATGTCAACACAACAGATCGCTGTGGAATCCAGGAGGCTTTGGAAACAGTATATGCCAGAGTTGGATAATTTTTCACTTTGTGATTCTCACAGCACATGGTTGCATCTTTTTTTTAAATGTGCACGGCCAAGAATCTGTTACAGAACCAATAAATAAATTATTAATAAAGTGGCTATCACTGTCAGCATGAGAAATGGCATATGTATTATTCATATAAGATACCTTTCTACCTCTTGTACACGAATTTATCTGTTGGTCCACAACAGCATCACATTATATAAAGAGCCTTCATTTCTTGGCTGACATATATTTTCTAATCAAAATAATTTCCCTGTTCATTGACACCAACTTCCATAGTGATTAATTTATGCAAGTGTGCAGAGCCATACCAGATCAAGAAAAACATTGAGATTGACAGCACATGGTCCCTAAAGTGCTGCAGAACTCCTTGTTGTCTTAACTTGTGGTGAGGAATCCCAGATACCCACTGTTATGATGATAGGCCATATTTAAACAAAATAGCAAGTGTGTATACCATAATGCCAAGTTTCCAAACAGCTCAGGGTCAGATTTTCAAGTGCTCAGTAGCTACTCACTCCCATTTTGACATTTAAGGTCAGATTTGCAAAATCACATACTGAACCTTAAAAAAAAATCAAGCCACTTAGTTTGCCATGTAAGTAGGAGCTGAGCTTTGAAAATCCAGCTGTATTTGCGGATGGTAAACTCTTGTGAAAATCTCACACATAGCATTTTTGTTTGTGCTATTCATGGCTTGATTTGCTGTCAGAACCTTGAGGTCTTTATTAAGGATGGGAAGAAATTGAAAACCCAATTATATGACAATTTCACAAATTAATTGGAGCCAGTCCTGCTCTATATAAACCATTTGCACAATGACAATAATTTACTCTGGGACAAAGGGAAACTGACACAAGAGAAATGAGAAAAGGAAAGAAAGTAGGAATAAGTAGAGGAAGTACATCTTACAGATAGATAGAGCCCTGCATGGACACAACATTTGTATCCACATTCACATCTGTATCTGCAAAAATGAGCTGCAGATATCTGCACTGACATTCATGACTGCAAATACCTATGGATACAAAGAGGATATCTGTAAATTTGCATGGCTCTAGATTCTGTATCCACATTCATATCCACAAAAATGAGCTGTAGATATCCGCATCTAAATCCACGAATGCAGATACCTGCGGATATAAAGTGGATATCCGCAGATTTGCAGGCTCTACAAATAGGTCCCTGCTTTCACCAACCCTCTTTTCACAGGTAAGTGACCAAACATCAGCTCTCATGGACATTGACATGACTGGAGAGTCTTTTGCAGCATCAAAGCTAAGAAAAAAATAATTATAAAGTTCTTTAGTTCATAAAAAAAAAATCCCTGGAGAAACAGGGTAGTAATAAACAGAGTTTTTCACTTTTGGTCCAGAATAGACCTTAGGTAGAGCAGAGGGAGGTGTTCGAATGTCACAGTGAAAAGAGAACATTGTAAAGTATCTGTGCCCACTAGTATATCTGATGAGAGAAAGAGCACATACATGGTCCCAGACAATGTGAATAAAGTCAAGAGACAAAGGAATAGAAGGAAAAGAAGGAAGAAAAATCTAGCAAGCTTTGGGATATATACATGCTACTAAAATGCCTACACATAAAAATTCTGAGTATATACATCCCAGAATCCTCTGCTCTGGTGCTATGGTACCTTCCTTAAAACACAGCTGCAGCTTGTGCCATGGATTTGAGGACATGTTTGGGAAGGAAAGGTGCCTACCACACATGTCTGAAGAGAAACTAGTTACCCATCTGAGAGAATAAACAACGTAGACAAGGGAAGCAGGAGGAAAAGGGTGGGGAGTGATTATTGGCAGGGATGCCAATTCTCCCCTTTGATATCACAGGCCATCAGCTCAGCATGCTCCTGCCAGAACAATGTGGGATGTGTGGGTATTGTCTCTTCTGATATACGGAAATCAGCACAGTGACTACAAATTACTATAATGGGAAATGTGAACATATTTAATCATGTGGAGCTAAGAGGCTGGAAATAAAGTCTTGTTTCCTTAATCATGCAGTTAGAATTTCCAAGCATTTCTCATCATGATAATGAAATAGACATCAGTGTCTATTGAAGCGCTGACTCCTGCATAGTAGTTCAGGAATTCTTCTGTTGTGACCTAAAGGAGAAGATTTTAAAGCAGAGAAGGAAACCTTCATTTTTCAAGTCATGCACAATACATACTAAACGCAAATAAACATCTGTAAATGAGCAAAGGCTTAAGCCATATGCTGGACACTGTGCTTCAATCATCTTGAATGAAGAAGGAACCTGACACAAGAGGGAAATTGAAAGTATAACTCCTTTAGTAGTAGAAAGTCCTAAAATGTCCTGATTTCCAACTAATCCTAATAAAAAACGAGTCCTCATCTTCCCTGAGAACTGAAAAATAGAATCAGTGAAGCTCTGACCCTTCAGTTTCTCATTGACTCATCTGTGTTTGACCAGCACATTCATTACATTGTAATAAATACATTGGAATGGGTTCCGGGTGCAATTGGGAGGTTGTAGTTTTGTATCCATTTATCAAGCTAACAATGCCATTCTTCAGAGCAGATCTGACTTAAAGAGACAAAGTGGTTTTTAAATGCCAGCTGAGTTTTGCTTATTTTGATTTGCATTTTTGGATTAAAACCATTTACAAAAGAAACTAGCCTAGCCATCCACTTTTTACACTACCATACATGGATAAATATTTTTCTAAACCTTCACTGATATAAATCACATATTGTTCTTGTCAAGTTTAATTAGGGCTCTCAAGCAAGTAAAAAAATTAATCATGATTAATTGCACTGTTAATAATAGAAAACTATTTAAATATATGTTGATGTTTGCTACATATTCAAATAATTTTATTTCAATTGCAACACAGAACATGTGTACAGTGCTCACTTTCCTATTTTTATTACAAATATTTGCATTGTAAAAAACAAAAACAATATTTTCAATTCATCTAATGTAAATACTTATCATGAAAGTTGTACTTACAAATGTAGAATTATGTACAAAAATAACTGCACTCAAAAAACAAAACAATGTAAAACTTTAGAGCCTAGAAAGTCTACCCGTTCCTACTTGTACGGCAAGTTGCTCAGAGAAACAACATTGTTTACATTTACAGGAGATATTGCTGCCCGCTTCCTGTTTACAATGTCATCTGAAAGCGAGAACGGGTATGTGTGTGGCACTGCATTGCAAGAAATTTACATGCCAGATACAAATTTTCAGTGTCTGTCCCTTCATGCTTCAATCACCTTTTCAAAGAACATGCATCCATGCTGCTGATGTGTTCTGTTAAATAATAATCCAAAGCAGTAAGAACACACACATGTTCATTTTCATCATCTGAGTCAGTTGCCACCAGCGGAGGATTGGTTTCCCTTTTTATTTGTTTGGGTTCTCTAGTTTCCACATCATAACATTGCTCTTTTAAGACTTCTGAAAGCATGTTCCATACCTTGCCCCTTTCAGATATTGCAAGGCACTTCAGTTTCTTAAACCTTTTGCCAAGTGCAGTAGCTGTCTTTAGAAATCTCACAGCAGTGAAAATGTTCTTAAAATGAATGTGTACTGGGTTGTCATCTGTGACTGCTATAGCCTGAAATATATGGCAGAATGCAAGTAAAGCAGGAGGAAACATACAATTCTCCCAAGAAATTTAGTCATTAATTTAATTAATGAATTATTTTTAATGAGTGTCATCATTATTTTGGAATAGTGGCCAAAGCATGAAGAGACATCTGATTGTTTAGCCTATCTGGCATGTAAATGTCTTGTAATGCCAGCTACAAAAGTGGTATGTGAATTTCTGTTCTCACTTTGGGTATGTCTAAACTACATGGCTCTGTTGATGGAGCCATGTAGATTAGTGTACTCAAAAAAGGGAAATGAAGCGGCGATTTAAATAATTGCTGCTTCATTTACATCAAAATGGCTGCCATGTAGTCTAGACCTACCCTTTCAATGAAACTGTAAATAAGAAGCAGGCAGCACTATCACCCATAAATGTAAACAAACTTATTTCTCTTAGGAATGGTCTACACCAGTTTTTCTGAAAGTGCTATGCGAAACCACTTTGAGAAACACATTAACTGGCTGCAAAGGACGAAACGGAGCAATGGGAGCCACAAGGCTCTGTGGCTGCGGCGCCAGTAAATAAACAAACCGGGGTGGCCAGTTAATGTGTTTCTCAAAGTGGTTTCGCAGAGCAGTTTCAGAAACACTGGTCTACACTAAAGGGGAAGGTTAACTTAAGATATGCAACTCCAGCTACGTTAATTACATAGCTGGAGTCAACATATCTTAAATCACTGATATACAGTGGGAGGTCGATGGGAGCAAATGCTCCCATTGGCTTCCCTTACTCCTCATGAGGAACAGGAGTACTGGTGTCAATGGGGGCACCCTCTCACTTAGAATTAGCAGGTTTTCACTAATCTTCCACGATCTTCCATGCAGATTAGACATGGCCTACTCAACTGGCTAAATAAGAATAAGGATTGAATAGACTTGAAGGCTCTAAAGTTATACTTTGGTTTTGGCTTTGAATGCAGTTATGTAACAAAAAGTCTACATTTGTAAGCTGCAATTTCACCATAAAGAGATTGTACTACAGTACTTTTGTGAGATGAATTGAGTATCACTGTTTCTTTTGTTTATCAGTTTTACAGTGCAAATATTTGTAATAAAAATATAAAGTAAATGTACACTTTGCATTCTGTGTAGTAATTTAAATAAGTATATTTGAAAATGTAGAAAAACATCCAAAATATTTTAATAAATTTCAGTTAGTATCTCTTGTGTAACTGTGATTAAAACTGTGATTTTTTTTTTTGGTCTAGTGTCAGAGGTGTAGCCATATTCATCTGTAACTGTAAAAACAGTGAACAGTCCTTGCGGTACCTTAGAGGCTAACAAATGTACTATGTCATAAGTTTTTGTGGGAAAAACCCACTTCATCAGATGAGTTGGAGTGTAAATTACAGAATCAGAGGTACATATAACAGCAAAAGAAGTTACCTATCAATTATCACCAGATAGCTAAACTGGAGTGCATACACAAGTTCAACACTATCAGCTTAGTCTTGAATAAAGATTTTAACTGGTTAATGCACTACAAAGGCAATTTCTCTTCCCTTGATATTCACATCAAATGCTGTGAATAAATCACATCCAACCTGACTTAATTAGCTTTAACACTGGTTCTACACTTAACATGTAACTTCTTTTGCTGTTATATATACCTCAGATTCTGTAATTTCCACTCCAACTCATCTAATAAGGTGGGTTTTATCCATGAAAGCTCATGACCTAATACATATGTTAATCTCTAAGTTGCCACAGGACTGCTCATTGTTTTTTCTGTTCTAGTGGTTGAGGCACAAGACGTAGAAACAACAGATGCAAATTCTGATACTGACTTTTCCATGACCATGGGCTTTTTATAAAGAAGGGACAATTATATTAACTTCCTAAATGTATTTGTTGTATTTCTAAAATAAAACCACTGTTAAGATTAATTAGTAACACAGGTGGTAACAAGTATCAGAGGGTTAGCCGTGTTAGTCTGAATCTGTAAAAGCGGCGAGGAGTCCTGTGGCACCTTATAGACTAACTGAAGTGTTGGAGCATAAGCTTTCGTGGGCAAAGACCCACTTCGTCAGATGCATGCATCTCCATCATGCATGTATGCATGCTCCAACACTTCAGTTAGTCTATAAGGTGCCATAGGACTCCTCGCCACTTTTACAGGTGGTAACAGAAATTCCAACTTTGGTTTCAATTCAAGGAAACAGTAAAGTATTTGCATAAGTTCATCTTATTTATGACTGCCTTCAATGCCAATTGAGCTCAATGGGATTTAAGCAAATGCTTCAAGCTAAGCACATGCATAAATGCTGTCATGAATAGTGTTGCCTTCCGGACTCTGTACTTAAACTAGACCATGCAATATGATTTTTTAGGTGGAGAATCTCCTCCTCATAAGGGATTTGTATCAATAAACATGGAACAGATGTGCTGTACATGCTTCTCTTAATTGTTAGAGATTAGGTATGTTTTTGCACATGAATGTAGCTGTGCATCCAGTGGGGTGCCTTTCAAGTGCCTTGGGCTATTTCACTTACCTTCCCATCTTTCTCATATGGTGAATCAAAGTTATCTAGAAAGGCTCTGAAAACTTGATCTTCTGTCCATTCTCCATTCTGATATTTGGGATGATGCTTTGCATTATACACCCCCTGTAAGTCTTCAATGGTTACAACACCATCACCAGTTTTGTCAAACTTCCTAAAGGCTTGCATGATGACCTCTTTTCTGGCATTGGACATGGGAGGCTGTAAGCAGATAGTAACAGATTAATCCTGTCTCTGCCTAATGCTTGTCCAGGTCTAGCTTCAAGCTTTGCTGCTGCTGGCACTAAGGCCACAATCTTCACTTGCCATGCTAGAGATCGATCTGCTAAATCAAATGCTGAGGGTATTCCTGGTTGGCACCACTATTCCTGGCAGTTGCAAGGAGTAAGGGAAGCTGATGGGAAGCTTATGGGAATGCTTGGAAGACAGCATCAAGCTCGGCTTAAGGTAAGCCAACTCCAGCTTCATATTTTAGTAGCTGGAGTTGCGTACTTTAACTGACCTTCCATATTTAGTGTAGACCTGACCTGAAACACATTATTTCAGAGAGATGGTACACCCACAGAAGAATGTGACTGTTGTCCAATCTTGTTGGACAACTGCTTGAACATCTGCTTGAGAAAAACTGAAAAACCAGGTAAAATGATTTTTAGTTTATCATTTTCTACATATTAGATGTCACTTGTAACAATGATAGGCACAAGATCTCTCTTTTTTATGAACTATTCCTCCTTTTTGCATGAACACATACAAAGAAAAGGCCTTAATGAATTTACAGAATAAGCGAACAAGCAAGACAAGGGAAATATTAGATGGTGGAGTTAGGCCCAGAGAAATTACGTATTTTTTTTTTTAAAGAGTTTGTAGCAAAGCCTTGGAACTGAAATCCAAAACCCAAGGGCCCAGTACAGAGACTTACTCACAAGACCACCTTTTCTCTTTCCTTTTTGAATTGAAATGGAATTCTTCAAACTCATGTTGTCTCTTTGGCTATGTCTACACTGGCCCCTTTTCCGAAAGGGGCATGCTAATTTTAAACTTCAGAATAGGGAAATCCGCGGGGGATTTAAATATCCCCCGCGGGATTTAAATAAAGATGTCCGCCGCTTTTTTCCGGCTTGTAGATAAGCCGGAAAAGAGCGTCTAGACTGGCCCGATCCTCCGGAATAAAGCCCTATTCCGGAGGATCTCTTATTCCTACTTCAAAGGAAGTAGGAATAAGAGCCTCCGGAAAAGGGCGCTTTTTCCGGAGGATCGGGGCCAGTGTAGACGCTCTTTTCCGGCTTTTTTAAAAGCCGGAAACAAGCGGCGGACATTTTTATTTAAATGCCGCGGGGGATATTTAAATCCCCCGCGGATTTCCCTACTACGATAGGTGAAATTAACATGCCCCTTCCGGAAAAGGGGCCAGTGTAGACGAGCCCCTTGTGTCTGTAGATATCAGTATTAGTGATAAAATAGAATTGTACTGACCTCTTACTTGAGAATTCATCTAATAATGGAACAGGATTTTTCTCATTTAGATAAAAAGAAAGCATGGTGTTTGGAAACTTACTCTTAATGTTTCAAGAAATTCATCAAAGTCTATTGTTCCACTGCCATCTTTATCAAAGATGCTGAAAAGCTCTTGAGCCTCTTCCTTGTCCATCATCACAGCATAATCATTTAACCCTTTTAAGAATTCTTTAAAATCAAGGGTTCTGTTTCTGTCATCATCCATAATCCGAAATACTCTGTGGAGCAATGTATGTTTAAAAGACATAAAATGAAGAATGAAGGTACAAGAGGCAGAACTTACATATAAGAATTACAGTTTATTAGGACTAGAAAAGGGATACTATTACCTTATTGGGATACAATTTCTTCTTCTTAAAGTCTCTTCAGAGGAAAGGAGGGCTGTAGTTACTAAGGAAAGGAGGGCTGTAGTGCCACCTTTCTATCGGCACTGCTTACCCTGCCTAGCCTGTTTGGCAAGGCCTATTTCCCATTCCCTCTCTCTGAAATATGACATTCACAAAACACAAACTATTAAATTCCAAAGGGAAGATATTTTACTTTTTGAACAGGATGGCTCTATAGGAAGTGCACAAGTATTTTTTAAAATGTTATAATAAAATTGTACTGAGATCAAGCTATCTGGTGAATTATAGCTGTTGGGAAGGGCTAAAGAATTGTCTAACTCAGCTCTACTGGAGAAAATAACTATATAAATGATAAAAAAACCCAGTAAAGTTTGATGACAATCAAATGCATTAATACAATTGTGATACAACATGATTCATACATGTCACTGCTAAAACAACATTTTGGGTGTGTCTAGACAGCAGTGCTATTTCGGGATAAATAGCTATTCTACATCTTGACTGCATGCCCATTATTTTGAAATATATTTCAAAATAATGAGCGTGCTATTCCAACAACCCTCTAAGGATTAAGGGACATTTTGGAATAGCATTTTATTCTGAAATTTAGTGCTGTATAGACAACACCAAATTTCAAAATAAGCTACGCAATTTGCATAGCTCAAATTGTGTAGCTTATTCCAAGCTAAGGGTGCAGTGTAGATACACCCTTTCAGATTAAGTGATTTGTCCAAAGTCACACAGCAAGTCTGCTGCCAAATATAGTAGTCACTTTGGTCTTTCCCATCTGTAAAATGGGAATAATAATACTTTTCTGTCTTTCTTGTCCACTTCCATTGTAAGCTCATTTGCTAGTATAAACATGTAACTGGTGGACACTGATCCTACAGCCATGCACTTTGGTTTGATGGCTTTGCCCCACAGCCCATACCTGTTCCATTATCAACATTTTAAATAGGAAAACAGAAGCTAAACATGCAAAGCAGGAGGCTTGTGATTTATCCCATCAGTGGGTGTAAATCAGTGTCATTCCACTGTAGAGTAAGAATCTGGATCTGCCCCTTTTATCTTTACATATGGTGATGCAGATGATTGCATTTCTTGCTTTCTCATTGCTTTTGTTTGTTTTGCTTAGGTTTGTATTTTTATTTAAGAAACATTGAAGAAAACAAATAGTCCTGGAGTTGTAGTTGCACTTCCCAGATCAAACAACCCTGAGTTCTGGGTCATTTGAAATCCTGGCTCCATGAAAGTCCACTGGAATTTTGCCACTGACTACAATCTATAGCTGTTATTTTGCAGCATAAGCCCATTTAAGATTTGTGGCTATAGCATCCTGCAACTCAAATGATTTGCATTAATAATGTATTTGGCTTCCTGGATTTACCTGCCAAGTCCTTTAATGCCTGCAGATCCCCTTGCTAGACATTGCAGACGAAGCTTCTCAATTGGGTCTGTGGTTTTGGGTAGGTTTTTTTTGGCCTGAATTGCCATATCTCGGTCGTGCCTCGCTGTACCAGGCATCTAGAACAAAACATTTCCCTTTAGCACAGATTCACAAACCTGAAAACAGCTTTATCTGATGGGCACCAATTACCAAGTACAGTCTCTAAAACATGTTCTTGAATACTGAAACCCATCTTACTTCCTCAGCTTGCATAAATACTTCACTTGTAAGAGCTTTCTGCTTGTTAATGAATTATTAGAAAGACTTTCATGCCCATTTGATATTAGTAGTCACAAATACCATTGCACTGAACTGGAACTGCAATCTGCTTTTGGGAGGAAATGAACAGCTAGAAAGGGTCTGATATATACTAACCATATGCAAATGCTAGTGCTCTCTGGTGAGACAAATACCAACATAATGTAACTGTGTGGCATGCTGCAAAAACCTACACAAATGCTGGCCATCCAGGTGACCTTAATATTTCCACATTTGAGCAAATGTGTTGTAATATTTCACAATTGTATAGGATTGTAATATGTCTCAGGTTCTAGGATGCTGTGCAGAAATGCAAAGCTATTTCTAGTATCTTCACCTGGCAACCAAACCAGATGGGTCTTAGTAGAGCTACAAACCATTTCCTGTGTAAGGGATCCATTTTCAACATACCATAGCACCCATGGGCAAAGGCAAAATTTGCACACACCCCCCGCCGCCATGTGGCAGGGCCCCGAACCTGGCGCACAGCTGAGCCCGACCCTGGGAGGAATGGGGGGAGCTTTTACCGTATCTTCCCTCCTGCTCCAGTTTGGGGCTGGGCCCCTGCACATACTAACTTGTTGGCGGAGATGGAGGAGGGTTGGACTGGGGGACGGAGAGGCAGGGAGGAGCCTCCAGCTAGTGGCGGCGGGCGGAGGAGGAGCAGGCGAGCCGAGGGATGACAGGGAGTGCAGAGGGGGACTAAAATGGTGCCCCCCTAGCGTGGCTCCCGGGGGCAACTGCCCTCCACACCCCACCCCTTGCTATGCCTCTGGACCTCACTCACTAATTTCTGCATCAAGGCTAGAACTTCTGCTTTGGCTATAACATGTCTTTATTTAAAGAGTTCAAGTGAGGGAGAATCCACCATGTCTCCAGGTTAGTTGTTCCAATGGTTAATTACCATCACAGTTAAAAATGTACAACACCTTTATTTCCAGAATGAATTTGTCTAGCTTTGGCTTCCAGTCATCGGACCTTCTTTATGCTCTTTCTGCTTGCTTAAAGAGATGTCTACTATTAGAAATC